ACGTTAAAATTTTAGCGTGGAACGCAAAGAGAAAAAACGCACTGTGTCTTGCGCTTTGGTAGTTGACCTTGCAAGTAATACTACATCTTAGATATTTATGAACAACTTAATTCTACATTTGAATAGAAGGATCTTGTACTCTGATCCGTAGATGAGGAGCAAAAAGCACCAAGAGAAGTGCATTAAAATTTTTTTATCGGCATTTTTAGAAAGAATAGAATGCTAAAATTCGTTTGTTTTGGCCTACAATCAACAGCGACCAACGGCTTGTCACACCTAACACATTATCATCCATTCTGTGGAAGACGTCGCAATCATGTTGAGACAGAACAGACACCAGAATATCACCCCGTATAATAATGATTATTTCTTATTAATTGATAAGATATTGATAACCCAGTGGGTTGAAGTTCTAGATAAAATATTAAGAGCACTACAATAATAATAAGATACATTTTAATGAATCTAAGGTTTCATTCCATTTCGTTCTATGTAGATCAATTCAACTCTGCTGAATGCAATCAGTTTAACAGATTAACACACCTCCTCTTGTTTCTAACTTTCTCGCATAATCACCACCTTTTCTGTATTCTACCAAACGCCAGGCGGAGGCGTAACAATTTGAAATATCAATTCCCGAAAAAAATTTTGATACGAATGGAATTTCATTTCTTTTATTACATAAAATGTGTTATTCGAGTGCTGTATGTGAAATAATCATGTGATGCATGATATATGTTGAAATCTTGCATATGACAATATTGACAGCATGAAATGACAGGAGGATATTGGGGAGGTAGAATAAAACTGTTATAACTTGTGCATGACAGTACAGACGGGTGTTATGATAACTGGTTGTATGATGCAAAGTGAAAAAATCAATTTGAATAAAATCCTTCGGCAAAATATAGGGATAGCGTATCTTCTCGGCGTTTGTGCTGACGTGTTAAATTATTGCACGGATTTTTCACGGATAAGTGGTATTTTTCTCCAATTAATCAATCCTCCTTTCCTGCCACTGGCTAAAACTTTGTAAAAATTCTGGGATAATTTAATAAACGCCTTCGTTATCATGACCAGGTTCCACGCACACACACAGACATATATTCGAACGTTTATCTGTCATTGTGAAGTTTACCTTCAGACTACAACATCGTACATTCAAATATGATCCCATGATTTAAAGTTTCTAAAGTTTTAGTCTGCTGATTCCAGCAGATGGCGCCATGGTACGATCAGGTTGGTCAAATATAATAAACTCTGTTCAGATAAAAATGCACTTGACTATAACCAGTGACGTAAATAATGTTTCATTGTGGGGGTGTCAGGGTATGGGTTTAATCTTATCAATGGCGTATTTTGAAATATATCAAACACAAATGCACCCTATGCATTTTATTGCAGTAAATTGTACATGAAGGTTCACGTAACAGATAATGATGATAATTGATTAAATAATGCGCCCAAAATATCCTGCCTCCTCCCCCATGAATCATATGTAACCAACACTCCAGAAAGAGATGTCACGTCTTCATCAGTTCTGAGTGACCAGGGAGTGGATGCGAGGCGGTCCAGATACTAAGTATACGAATATATCAGTTTCAACTGATTTAGTACAACGTAATACGTTGTAAGATATTAATGTTAGGTATTTGATGATAACTTATTTGTGATTCAGTTTTGATGCCTGAATGTTTAAAACTGGTATTGGAAAGACCCCAATATTTCCCAATTTTGCTTCCTCCACATTTTCGCCAGCTCTTCATATCCCATGAAAACGAGGAATGCAGTTGCACTTCATGTGAACTATTTTGAACACCGTTGGTAGATGTAGTCTTAGCAGTAAACGTTTTACGTGTGGATTTTTTTCTGATTCTCTCTGCTATAGAAGACACAGTATATGTAGAAAAATAGGTAGTTATTGAAGTTGTTAGCAAATATCTTTAAAAATTATTTCTTTATTCAATAAAATTTATGACAAGTTAACCACATTACATTAAGTGATATATTTTTGCTTATGTCTTGTGAGCTATAATTTTTCCAGTAAAAATTAATTGGGAATATTTCATTGAATAATAAATGCTCAATTTTTAATTTCTTGTCATCAGTACTTTAAACTCAGCATATAAAATTAGTTCACTCTCTTGGCATTCACGGGATTTTATTTTAATCCAAAGGCATATAGTGCGCATTAGATCTTTAACTAGAGAGTAAAATCCTGAAAAATTGAGCAATTTCCCTTCATCACCAAAGCACGGTCTTATCCAACACCGTCGACAAAAGTTCGATGTATAAAAGTTTTTTTAAAGTCTGCTTGCTATATGCTACACTCCATTACGATAAAACCACGTTTTGGAGTTGTCAATTTCAACTTTTCCCGCCATGAGTGAAATTGCGCTCACTATGTGCCTTTAACGGTGGCTTTACTTTAAATGCTCAGATAAGAGATTAGAATACATGATTTCATAATTTTGTTCTTGTTAATGTTCCAAATTTTCACTGTCCAGATTCGTAGTATGTACACCGTGGAACCGTGATGTTTTTTTTAACAATTCTAGATTCTGTGTAAAGATAAAGGAATTATTGATGCTATTTTTAAAAATCTGCTCAACTTTGAAAAACCCCTCTTACTTTTATTAGGTCGATCGGCATGTGCAAAAATGATTACTCTCTACATGTGTTATGTGAGGTTAATTCATGTTCACATTTGTCACAAGAGTTGTAGAATTGCTCTTCATTGTATTTTGTATTTAGTATTTAGTTACTGAAATAATTCTTATAATACCGCGTCGTTAGAAAGAGAGAAATAACATTAACGTCGGATTCGGGGCATTTAAATGTGGTCAAACTGTGAAGTTCTAGGCAATTTGTAGCATTATGTGTATTTGATAATGTTAGACCAGAGTAGTTTTCCATTTTAAATTTTTTCTGAGGTTAAAGGTGGGGTGGATACTAGATCCGGCGTTGTTTTTTAAAGGAAAAAAGTCTTTTCCGAAATATTTTCTTTAACATCAAACATAAGATCAAACATGAGAAGTTTAGTTGATAGTTTTATTTGTCAAATCAGATAGATTGAATTTGTTACATTTTTAGTGAATTCTAATGAAGATCTCAATATTTCTGTTTATATCATTATATTCAAGCCTTCAAAACTTTTAAAAAAAGAATCACAAATGAAGTCGCACAAACTGATGTTTTAAGATGGTATTTTAAGATGTATATTTATGCATGCATATATGGAATGGAAATTTGTTTTGGTCTTAATAAAGAAATACCAAAATTATGCAATGCTTTGTTGTATTTTCATGTTCATTGGTACCCACGGGTTGGGGTTCACTTTCCTGCTCGCGCACTTGGATAAAACCGAGTACTTCCCAGTCTTTTTAAAAATTCCCTTTGGTTACTATAAGAAGAAAGTCTACCTGGGGAGGGTGGGTGGGAACAGTTAGAGGAGTAGGTAACGCGCTTGCCTCTCAGACAGAAGGTTGCAGGTTCGATTCCTGGCGCCACTGGGTCCCAGCAAATTACCTTTTACAAAAATAAATCCAAATAAAGAATTTCGACTTCTACAAAACAGTGCTGCGAACACAGGATAGTAAGAGGAGTCGGTGGTTCTGTAGTTAAGAAAAATAACTTCTATTTTGTTCATAAAACAATATAGCACATTTATTATTGCACAAATGAATACAAAAAGTAACAGCATTGTTTTCACAAAATATTATAAAACTTGGAATACCTTTTCTTCTACATTAATGTCAATTTCATAAAACGTACTATGAAATGTGAATTAAGCTTTTACATACAAACAGAACTGATTCTCTATCTAACTAAAACATGTCAAGATTCTATGCATTTTGAACATTTCTGCTTGGCCGGCGTAGCTTTTTGATTTATAAAGGAGTTCAGGAATATTATGATAGACATAATACCAACAAGATTAACAAAATAAATAAATAAATAAAATAAAAACCAAAACATTACCAAAAATGTTTGTCTAAATTCACTGGTGTGATCGATATAGAAAATTCAATATGCATATAACCTCATCCTATCCCAACCCATGTACCCACATGCAAGCACTATGTCGTCTTGCTGATGTTCACAAAACAAGAAAAGGTAGATAAAATAATAAAATTTTGTAAGACTCCTGGTTGTTTGTTTAGTTCATCGATAAATATTGTCATGCCCAAAACAGACGTGTTTTTTTTCATACGAATTGCTTAAATATGCATTTCATGGCACAACTTTGAGCGAAAACTGAAATTTGTACAGCATGCGAATCAGAAACGTCGTAATGACATGACCAACCTACAAGCTTATTTCAACCATAGCTATTTTAAAGAATAACGTGCAGAGAAAACGGAAAAGATAAAGCAAATATTTGACAATCACATTTACTAAGACAATGCCAATAACGTTCAAACTGGTCTCCGGTGTTCAGTGATCAAGTGACACTCAGCATTATAACTCCACAGGACATGCAGGACTGACATCCTATAAGGAGTTATTCTTCAATCACTCTTTGATTGTGACCAAAAAGTCAACTAAAAAAATACAAGGCACAAGGCCAACCTTTCACAGAGCGTTGGTCTACACACTTTTGTATAAATTTTTTTATACTGAGAGAATTACAATTATTCATTTTTTGTTTAAAGAAGCAAAATACAATTAAAAAAGTAATTTTGTACGATAATTCGATGGTTTTTCAAGAATTGGCTAAAAAACTGCTAGCCAATTTTTTAAGTAAATATACGAAAAATGTAAATTGGGCTTTTCAAAAATTGTATCACATTCTTTGTTGGGTATACTGACAGAAATTGGCAATCTTAAAACCTTCATCGAGTACTCATTTAAAAAAAAGGCAGCTAAAATGATTTATTTGACTTTGTCAAGAATTTGTCGAAAATTCAGTGTGTAAAAGTTTCTGATGAATGTCAGTTCTACATGGGCCCTTTAATGAAAATAATATTCCGAAATAAAACACCTTCTGTAATACAATTTTCCTTTGTGACCTACCACTACTGCAATAACAAATGTATATTAATTTCGGGAAAATTTCAACTCCTTGGTTTCGTTTCTAAAACCAGGGTGACCTTTGACCCCTCCCATCACTGAAACGTGAACTTTATTTTATATGCGTCACAATCGAACATTCAAACTAAAGAAAGATTGTTTCAATGCGTGTGGACAGTTCTGCAATACTAATGACACATTCTGCCAGTTTGATAGTGCTGCAATTTCTGAAAAATAATTATTTAAATTACAGCGATTTATTAATTTTCGGTGGATGCACATCTCGTTCTTTTTTTCTTCAACTGAACACACACTATAACTTCCAAAGACTTCCATAAATGCATTTTGCACGGTTGGGACGTTTTCTCTTTCCAAAGTTAACATCACCAAAATAAATACTAGAATTCAATTTTTAATAAATAATTGTTCACGGAGAAGTGCCAAATTGCAGATTTGCCCTCACAAATATGTTACGAACAAAAAGAAAACCGGTCGTCCTACATGTGCATGTTGTTTATGTTTCCACACCTACACGGAAATAAACCACTACAACATGGACGTGTAGCAAAGTACTCTTCCTGAACACTACTTTGTAATAGTTTTAAAATAACTACAGCCGATTCACAACCCAAAGTAAATATTACACTTTATATTAAGTTTCAACCCTGCAAATTTACTAGCGGACAAACTCTGACATGCGACATGTAATCTTGACATGGATGCAGCCGCTGTGGAACACGAGTCTGACATCATTTATGGAGAGCATATCCAATCTTCTCGTGCACGGTTGAGTCACTGAAATTAAACAAAAACCACCTTTACAAATCAATGTCTAAGGGTTGATTAAATAAAGCAAGTTTTAATTTTACGGCAACCGATTTCGATTCTTATAGTAATATTCAACAAACCACTTTTCAACTTTTAAATTAGAGGAATATATATATATATATATATATATATATATATATATATATATATATATATACAGTATACTGAGCTGACACGTTCTAAGTAATCATGCACTTTCAAACAATATAATTTCTATTCTTTTACACCGTGTACACACTGTAACGTGACAACATTCTGTGTCTTTAGAACCACACATCAGTGGTGCTACTAAAAAGATAGTGACCCTCGCATTACGTATAAAGTGAAATTTTAGAAATAAACATATGACAGGAGGGTAGTAAAACAACATTTATAAGATCTTAGAAAGTAGAACAACATAGTCACGACATGTGCACATTGGCGGGGAGGGGGTTTTTGAGGGGGGTTTTTGAATTTTTTAAAAAACAAATAAGGACCTGAGAATGAAGTTGTCTGAGAATGGAGATGTCCTTACATTGTTTAAGACGGAAGACGCGTTCACAGCTGGAGCAAACCTCTCACCACCTGTTTACTGGCAAATGTATTCTATCTGAAAATAATAACAGATAATAAACTATTTAAATGTCAAGTTGAATTTGGACTTTTAATGTAAAATATTGTTGACGTCAAGACCAAAATGTCGACATGTTGCCTTATTTGCACATTACACCAATTTTTGGTTAATATCATCAACGCCAAATAACCAATGTTATCTTCCACCATCTATACAGTACTTACAACAATTCGATGCCAATTTCAGTCCCAGATTTCCGACCATTTCGTGGAAATTGTGGCATGAGACACAAGGCTTTCTTCTCCATCTTTTACTGACCTTGGTCCTTTCTGAACACATCTCACCAAAATACTCACCTAGATTACATAATAATATATTCTAGACCACCTTCTGTACAGGTGCCTCGATTTCAACTTTAGAATTTGTCGAGCAATCATGCCCCCCCATCCTAGGGAGGTGCTGAAATCATAGTGGCAAAAACATGAAAATTTTTCTGAATTTTTTCCACAACAGCTGTGATATGAAATATTAAATATACATAACTGTGCAGTGTTGGAATTATATTCCATTGAAATTGAATTTTTTAGAAAATAAAAGTTTAAAATATCATGTTAATTTGACAAACATTTTATTTAAAACGAGCAGCAGCGCAGTTTCCATTTTAGTTGTCCCGTGACCATTTCCGTATATAGATTACATTGGTAATGTACACCATGGAGACGGGAAATGGTGTTCAATTTAAAGAGAAAAATAAAGTTCTTTCGGTACTGAGTTTACTTGTGAATGACCCTTAAATCGGGGCTTAAGTAAGCTCAGTAACTGTGGGTATTTCTAAGGGCAAATTTGGGACAAAGAAAGCCAAGATATGAAGTTGCCGCGCAGACAATTTTTTGAGTGCAGTTTTTTTTTGTTTACGTACTAAAAGAGAGGAATGTCACTATTACATTATAATATGCGTCTTCGGACAAAAAAAATCATAGAATGTGCTAGATGAGGCAAAACAAAGATGCTGTTGTTGATGCTGAATTAATTTTGTTTTTACTTAAAAATAGAACAAAATTAATTAGATAAAAAAGTATGTTTCAAGTAAATATTCGATGAAATATTAAATCTTTTAGGGCGTAGCANTTACTTAAAAATAGAACAAAATTAATTAGATAAAAAAGTATGTTTCAAGTAAATATTCGATGAAATATTAAATCTTTTAGGGCGTAGCAACCATTTTATGTATAAAGAAAAGATAAGTTTTTACCAATCTGATGAAATAGCCTACAGTATAAAATATTGAACGAACAACTTCAACAAATTCAACCAAAAATTTCAATTCTTTGATCAAATCCGCCCGACTTATTCCACTATTAGTTTATTAATTTTCAAACGTTATAGAAATCTGGAGTTTTTATACTTATGAAGTACTAACAATATAATGCAGATTAAAGCTCGAAAGATTGTTAACGCTATGCATAAAACCGTTTTCAATTTTAATTTGGCAGTTTTAATTGTGAAGTTTATTTTAAAACAACAGTTTTCACGCACGCTCCTTTCAATATACACAGCGACGGGCTACTTATTGCCCCTGCCCTTTATAAGGAACGAACAAAACCGGTAGTACTTAATTTTACCTGGCCACTAACATCATTATCTCGGCATTTTTTCTCTCCGTAGCTCATAAAAATTGACAAGGTTTTACTTTTACTACCATTCGTTTTTAAAAAATGATACAAAAATATTCATTGGGTGTAAAAGAACATGAGTATGATTAAAGTAATATGTTCTGTTCGTATACGAAGTTCCGATTTCGTAAGAGCACCAAAGAAAGGGTTATGGAACAACAAACATCGACATCAACGTTAATTCATGTTACATCATTTCCAGAAAAAAAGACAAATGACTTTTAGTCAATTAAAAACGCCTGTGAAAGAACCCGGGACTCTTTCACGTTGTTAAATTTCATGTAGTCTCTCGGTTGAAATAAAGAACCCGACATTTTTTTAATGCGCTGCAAAAAAAAATAATAATAATAAAAAAAATTA